TGGATGGGTGTACTTGGGTTCAGATCCTAATTACGGTCTAACTAGTTGGAACTTCTGCTGCAGGTTGAGTTGTATGTAGATTCAGACACCTTTCAGTTAATGGGTGAGGTGACAATTATTAATGGGTTGTGTTCCATAATCTTTCAGTCATAGAGAGGAATTAAGATTTTGATGGAAAAAAAAGAAAAAAAAAAAAGAAAGAAGAGAAATTGAGTTTTTTTTTTACGTTTACAAATCTCTCGTGTTGACTGGCTGTTGTCTTGTTTGTGGAATTTTCAGGTAAAGAACATGCACTTGTCATTTGCAATCACAGAAGTGACATTGATTGGCTTGTTGGATGGCTCATAGCTCAGGTGTTTATCTTTGTGAATTTATTTCTAGCAGTGTCACTTGTATGATGTTAAACATGCACACTAATCGTTGTCTGTGTTTTAAAAGCATATAATTTCCATATAATTGTCTGACTTCATGAAAAACAAGTTACCATCATCTCGTCTTCCTTTGTTGTCTTTCATCTGTTGACCTCATCAATATTTTCTGAATAACTCGTCCGAGTTCCAGAAAACTATCCTGCCCACTGTATCTTTTCTTTATTCTTTATTTCAAACCCCTCAACCTCTATGTCATGAAAATAGGATTACAGGTAGAGTTGGCAGAGTCAGGAATTTGATTATACCTGTTAACCATTGTGTTTCTTGAAAATCATGTTTTAATTTTTGTTCTTTCTAATTAACTGATTGAAATGAATCTATTAATAACAGCGCTCAGGTTGCCTTGGTAGTGCACTAGCCATCATGAAGAAAGAAGTAAAGTTCCTCCCAGTGAGTTTTCACTCAACATGTATCTTTCTATTCCTATTGAAATTAATGATGTTTTTTTTGGGTATGTTTTAACTTATGTATTGTCCTTTAATTTACTCATTTATTTAGTTTTGTATTGTGATAATCATTAAGGGTTAATGTGGTACATGCACGCAGGTCATAGGTTGGTCAATGTGGTTTTCTGAATATTTCTTCTTGGAAAGAAGATGGACTAAAGATGAAATTACATTGAAGGTATCTGTAAATGTGTTTATACGCATATGTTTGACAGTCTTCTTCTTTGTCATTTATAACTCATGGGGTTTCCCACTACAGTCAGGTTTTCAACAACTAGAGGATTTCCCCATGCCTTTTTGGTTGGCCCTCTTTGTAGAAGGAACACGATTTACGCAGGCAAAGCTAATGGTAGCTCAAGAGTTTGCTGCTTCAAGAGGGTTGCCTATTCCTAGGAATGTCTTGCTTCCACGTACAAAGGTAATAGTCTATTTACAATTTTTTTCATACCATTTTTCCTTCTTTTTAAGTCAAATTGGTGTCTGCTATATCCTATTTGAATTTTTTAAAACTAGATATTCCTTGTACATTGCCATTATGTCCTTTTTCCCATAATTTCATAATGCGACTCATCAACGTAATTTCCACAGTTTTGTGTATCCCCTTTATTTTAAAATTGTAGTACTTCTTCAGGGTTTTGTTTCATCAGTAAGTCAGATGCGCTCATTTGTTCCAGCAATTTATGATTGTACAGTAGCTGTTCCCAACAATCAGCCACCGCCTACATTGTTGAGAATATTTCGAGGGCAATCTTCTGTGGTAGGACAACAAAACCCTTTCTACATATGCTGATAAAGTTACTTGTTATTAGCTAACTAACATTTTTTTTAGTGCATCATTAGTTTCTTGTAGGGAACATTACACATTCTTACTTGTCATTGATCAGTTTTTAGCTGCACATCTCAATTGGTGGGGTACAGTGGAATTGCTTGATTGTTTTTCTCTTAAATAATGAACTGTTTTACTTAGTAACCTTTAAATCATCTTGCATGGAATCAACAGGGTTTCTTAGATATGGTTTGTATTTCTTTACTACTTTTGTTTTACTAATGTCCTAGTAATGAGGTAATCTGTTTGTAAACATAGTGCAAATTTTTAAGATAGCATTAAGTCAGAAAGTTTGAATCCAAGAATAAAATAGTGGAGACCATAGAAAATGTTACCAGGCCAAGGTTCAGGGATATACCAACCGTGCACATACATGACATGTGAAAATAGATCGTTAGCATATAACTATCATAGCCAAAGATGCTACCAGAATTTAATTTTTTAAAAGGAAGATACAAAGTACTCATGGATGAATAATTATGTGAGATTCTGTATAATGAACTGACAAATTGAGACCTAGAAAGTTTTATGCATGAAAAGCATGGACGTGCTTATGAGCAAGGGCTGTTCCCGCAGTGTTCCTTTGTTACTTAACTAAAGTTTCTATCTTTGGTGTCCTGTGTCCGTCTAAGTGTCCATTCTGGATAGACTTATGCTCATTTGAATGCTAAATAAAAACAAAGCAATATCATTTCAAATTATATATGGAAAAACTAGACAGGACAGCCATTTTGTAGAAGGGGACATTTCGTGCTAGATGAGCTGGATGTGCCCTTGCATCCTTCTACACAGTGTGGGACTGAGGCTTCTCTCAGAAAACTGAGCGCACACTTGTCTTGAAAAATGAAATGGGGCCAATAGTCGTGGGAAAAAGGTCAGAAAATATGTTACTAAGTATAAGGAGTTTCTGATTCTTACAGGTAAAATTACAAATCAGGAGACATTCAATGCAGGAATTGCCCGAAACGGCTGACGGAATTGGACAGTGGTGTAAAGATGTATTTGTTACCAAGGTATACTCATTAATACATTCTTTCTTTTCTTTTCTATTTTTAGATGAAATTCTCTTATGCTTGAAACTTTTAAGGGGTTGTCTGGAGGGAGAAGTAACCGGACACATAGCCCAGGTTAGCCCAAGAAAAAAGCAATAAGTAAGAATGATCGATATTTTGAGGTTTCTGAACTGATACAGCTCAGCTGATCTGAGAAAGATCAATAAAATTGTGTGCAGCCAAGACATAGAAGTCCCATATCTCTCATATTTGGGTTTAAAGTACTTATCCTTCCGGGTATAGCTGCTTTTGCTTTGGTTCTCATGCATTTCCTTTCCCTTCTTTTTTCTCTCTTTTTTTTAAAATACAAGTGATATTGGGGGAAGGGGAAATCAAATGCATGACCTCGAGTGCAAGGGTGAATGCTCTTAACTGCTTGGGCCACAACCACTTGCTCATGCATTTCTTTTTTAATTGGCTCATAGGGCGCAGTAAATTGCAATCACACCGGCAGACCTAAACAGACCTTCATCATCATTTGACACTGCTCACTTTATAGCCCCCTAGTAACTGTATGTTTGATGCCTTTTTTTCTTTCTTTTTTCCAACTTTTCAACTACCAGGATGCTTTATTGGAGAAGTACTTTGCTAAAGGCACATTCAGTGACCAGCAACTTCAAAACATTGGCAGACCTATGAAGTCCTTAATTGTAAGATTTCACAATTGACCATCTAATCCTTTTGACCTCTTTTTCTCATTCTAATTCCATTTTCTTGTCACAATATATAGGTTGTGTTACTCTGGTCCTGCCTACTTGGCTATGGAATTTTCAAATTCGTTCCATGGTCTTCCCTCCTATCCTCATGGAAAGGCATTGCATTTTCAGCTACTTTCTTGGTCCTTATTGTAATTGTTATGCAAATCCTCATCCATTCATCTGAATCAGAGCGTTCGACACCGCTCAATATAACCCCACAAGACCAAACCAAGGAGAGACTCGTTCAGAAATGATCTTCTTATTTAATTATTAGTGCTAACAATTAGGCATGACAGTGATCTTCAAATGTGATTATAATTTTGTTGTTGTTTTGTTTTTAGGTTTCTTCATTTGAAATTGCCAAGCTTATTGTTCTCTTGTTGTAGCTTGGAAATGTATACACACACACACAAAAATTTAGGCAATATGCTTGTGTATTGTTGTAGCGGGACAGCTCTGTATTTATTTATTTATTTATTGATTCATTTATTGATTCATTGATTTATATATTTTTCTTTTCTACAATGGAGAGAATATAATCTAATCCTAAGAGAATATAATCTAATCCTAATCCATTTCCCCACTCATCCTCATCACTTGAGCAATTGGAAGGACGTTTGAAGGAAATATTCAATGACTCGGGATTCGGTTATTATTATAAAAAAGAGTGGAATTATATTAATGCAAAGGGAAACAAAACAAGCGGTTCATACGATAATGGTTAAGAAGATTAGGTGAGCATCTCAACATATAAGGGTTTGGTCGTTAGGGAATAAATGGGTAGCCTACCCTCATCCCACCTAGGGCGATTAGAGGAAACCACAACTCCTAAGACCACTTCCAGCAGTGGAGGCTGGGCTCGGGCTGGTGGGGGTTAGGGCCATAAAAGTGTTTCCAACAACAAAGACTGGCCCGGGCAGAAGGTGGACCCCAGCAGACTGGGATGGCTCGAGGGGGAGGCGCGCCCGAATTGGAGCCCAAGTTTTGGGGATGACGTCAGCGCGCTACAATGCCACCAATAGCCAAAGACCCAAAAGGAGTAAACAATCCTTAAAAAGGATATCAGAAATAAAATCCTGTTAAAATATAGAATATAGAATAGGGATAAATTTCAGCGGACCAAGAATTAGATCAACGTGTTCCCAAGCAATTTCAACTTACGATCAATGGGAAGTTTGAAAATTACACTTATAAATGCTTCCCTAATGTACAGGTAAAGCCAGCATACAAAGATTAAATTTTTGCTGCTGTGTACATGATACGCCGTATTTTAACAGGATTGTGTGTACGGCAGTAGAGCTACTATGATGGTAGGACGTAGAAAGTGGGGCCCATCACCTATCTCTCTCTGCCCTTTTCTTCCCCAACCCCAATCTCTCGTCTCTCTCTAGCACTTCCTAGGGTGGGCGTTGGCCCCCTCCCGTCTCTCTCTAGCACTTTCTCACAAATATTCTTGATGCCCACTATTTTCTTTGCTTCTCTTTCATTCTCTTTCATTCTCATGTCTAAATTTCTTTTGAATTGCACGTATCTTGTTATCATAAAAGAGTGATAGGTTATTCATACAAAAAATAAAGAAAAAATAGAGAAGAGTGATAAAATTAGGAATTTTTTAAAAACTAGGTTGATTTGTCATAAAAGAAAGTGTTTGAATTATTAAAGATGCCCCCTCTTACTTAAATTTATGGCTCCGTCACACCAACCCCGTTTACCCCAACTCCAAAGACACTCCTCACTCCCCTGATTTTTCTATTATTTTATTTCGTTTTTAACTCTTTTTAGATTGATTAAGCTTAACGATGGAAAATAAGATTTTTGTATTTATATTTAAATATAAGCGACAGTCAACACTTTTTTGCTCATCACCTCGAATTAGTGGTGATGAGCATCACCATCATATTAATGGCCATTGAATGAGATGAAATTTTGAGATTCGTATAATAGGTAAATTAAATCACACTCATCCAACGACATCATAGTAATCCTCGTCATATTAATGCTCACCTAATCTTCCCCAAAAATAAATAGTTGCCAAAGTTTCTCTTATACAAAGCAATATTACTTGAGAGAGAAAGAGGAGAAGGGGGAATCGAGTACAAAACCTCGGATGTAAAAGTCAATGTTCTAAATTGCTAGGGTTACAAACTGCTAATTTCGACGTAGTTAAACTGTTAAATTTAATACTCAAGACAGTAGACTAGACCAGTTTGGTTCGGCCAATGAAAATGCCCAACTCTGAAAATAAACCCTAATTGTCTTTGCATCAATTTGAGTTAATTAAGTTGGTACGCCAATAGAATGGGGCCTATAAGTTATCCCGCCAACCATACCGTAAAAGAAAATGAATCATTAGTTCATGCAACGAGTCCAAAAAGCAACATAGATAATTAACACGTCTAACGTGCATTGCCAAATTTCCAAACACAT